TCTTCGAAGTTGAAGGACCGGGCTCTCCTTGCGTATGTTCAGGCTCTAGTAAATCGGTGTGGATTTCATACGTTCCAGCGATATCAGTCAGCACAATATTGTCTTAATCACCTAGCGCGTCATCATCTAGACCTTCCTTGCCTGTAAGATTGTCAACCGTCGGGGGGATATACACGGCATCGATTTGATCGGCATCTTCTAAAGCTCCTTCCTCTTCTAATATACTTAGAGTTTCCTGAGAAGATGGTGCTGGTTACCCAGCCATAATGTTTCAGTTTTTTACTCTTTATTCACTGATTTCTGTACACTCACTTATCGATTTTTAGGAATTACTATTTGACCGTAGTGGTTAGCTCGACGTTTTATAATCGATTAATTAATAAAATAAGGAGCTTCTACTCTTTAAATAGCGAGAACCCATTGTTTACTATCAATTTCTAACATCAATGGCAAGCTCTGTACTAATAACAACTGACCACGATACTCCCAATGTTTCCTGGAGTTCTAAGATAAACAACATGAGTAGTTACTTTTGTCCAACAAAAGTGTTTATATCATAAATAAGATATTGCTAAAGCTTTACACAGTGTAAAAAGTATAGCTTTATTTCAATTAATATTTTTTATGATTGGATGAATATATCGATTTTGAGATGACACAATTAGCAGTTTTTTTTAAGATAAAAATAATATTTATTTGTATTCAATATGTAACCTATAAAGAAAATATTTATCGATCTCTTAGTTCTTATTTCGAGACTGGTTTACATTTCATAAATTTATTTCCTTTTTGACGTGATAACGTCTTTAAAATCGTTTTAGTCGGGTGACATGTTCAGAAACTTGTGTCACACCAAAACCTCACGAGCGCGATCGCAGGTATAACGAGAGAGAGACGGACCGATCTCCCGTCTCATCTCGAGCGCTGCCAGTCATTCCCTGAAACTTATCACGCGGAATCCTCACGAGCGGAGGCAGGCATAGCGTTCGAGTGAGTGGACCGATCTTCCGTCTCTCTCACTCTAGCGGCATACAAACGAATGGAGATTTTCTCGTGCGGTTAAGTTTTCGTTGAAAACGATAGATGTAATTTAAAATTAGAAAAAATTGTTATCTTCATTAATTCCTTACTTCCCAAAAACTTATATCACCAACAAGACGTTATCACGTAAACATCTCGATCGTAAACCTACTTTACAAACAACCTATCTTTCATTTAAAAAAAAAAACAAATTTGAAATTTTGCACACAACGATGGGCAAAGATGGGTTAATGTTATTCGAATTTAATTGGGAAAATGCAAAGGGCAATGTCCATTTTTGGCCTAGCGTGAACGAGCTGCTATCAAAAAAACAAGTTTATGAAAAAAATACATTTTTTTAGCTAGCCATTCTATTGTTGTTTGAGTGTACATTTGTATTTTATTGAAAATATATTTTTAAAGTATCTTCATTGATTTGCTTTATTGATCCACGTTTTGTGCTACCAGCAAGATCAATTAACGATTGCGTCAAATCGAATCATCTCGCGGTACTTAATGCAACTATAAGTATTTTTTTCTATTGCAACACTAATAAAACAAAAAATACAAATTGACATTGATATGTCACAGACTGATTGTTTACATTCGCTTTGTTTACCTACATTGAGAGTGTTGATTTATTATGGATTTTCTTTTAACGATTGTTTATTCATTATGGACTCCGACCAATTTTTTTCCAATGACCCCTGTACATCTACGGAGCCTGAATTTCGCTCAAACGATGACCCTGGCTTTTGTATTATGGACTCCGATCAAGGCATAAACGATGACCAACACTCACGTAATATGGACCCCGAAACTAGCTCCATCGCTAACCACGGCTTTAATATGGACATTGAACAAAACCAAAGCGTGTCTCATGATAGTCTGCACACAGAAGAAGTGACTTCTTACCAATCCGTATCTCTGAGATTAGAGGTGTGAAAGTAACGAAAAAAAGCGTACCCGTATGTATTCGGTAGTTTGTCAATTAGTACTCGTTACTATATCGTTACGTTACTCGTTACTTCTGATCAGTGGCGGCTGGTGGGTTATCGAACTGGTGGTGCACTTTAATAAAATATTAAAATTAGAAAATGCAACAAAAAACCAATTGACATAAAATATGTTTATTTTTTAAATATTAAATCAATGCGACGACATTTTTCTGAAGCGAAATGTTCAATCACCTTTTTATTAAAATCGAGTATTGTTTGTATAATTATTTTTTTCAATACTAAGCATAGAAAGTGCATTTAGCAAGTGCAAGGTATTTCGGAGAAAAATTTTGATTCTTTTCAATTCCAATTCGTCATACATCGGGTGCTCTCGGTAATCTTCGGCCGCTCGTGCGGCGCTCGAGAACCGACTCATTACTCGGTACATTTCTATGAACTATCTTTTGTTTCACGCGTCAGGCGTATTAATGCGCATCTCATACAACATGTATTAGCAGTCCTCGTGCACTCGCCGAAGCGCACGAGATATTAGTTTAGTAAAGCGCACAAACTTTTTGACTATAATTAGAAATTTAATTTTTTATACGTTTTTGTATATTTAGAAAATAAATATTAAAATGGTATATTTTAAAAATAAAGATGAAGTATTATTTTGTAATTTATATATCTTTTGAATTGGTGGTTCAGCGCACGAGTGAACTTAAGGTACAGCCGCCACTGCTTCTGATACTTCTCAAGAGCAACGAATCGAATCTTATTGCGTGCGCTTATTATAAAGAACCGGATGAATGGACTATTTTTATTTTGTAATATAACCGTGTTACCTAAATCACAATAACATCGAAATCTATTATGAATCGATTATAAATAAAAAAGCAACAAAGGGGTTTTGAGAATAATTTATTGACAATAAAATCACAACATTCTAATGAAAAATTAACATATTTTTTTTTACTTTGAATGAAATTAAGTAAAAAAATTAAATAAACAAAGATCTTTATTTGTAACTAAGTTTTAAAATTGTACGAATAAGTGCGCGTGTTAGAAAATGTATTAAATGTATTAAAATATTATATAAGAAAAGATATATTTATATACATATTTTCGAAAAAAACAATTCATTAAAACATCTAATAACATTTTATTTACTGGGCATATTATAATTTTACAAAATATAGTTTTTCGTAAAGAGAAGCTATACAATATAATATACTTATCTCGTCTATATAGTCTTTCGGTAATTGTTTCTTCAAGAGTCGCTGCTCAATAGTTTCACTATAACCACAGGGTTTCAATTGAAGTTCTGGCCAAGGCTGCTGTCCGATGTCAAGTCCCTTGCCTCGGCGAAGAGCAATGTTTTATAGGTCCTCCCCACACCACTCGATATTCAAGATATTTACTTTTTAATTGTAACAAAATATATATTGAAAATATGTTTATTAATATTTATGTTATATTAATTTTTATTTTGTCATATATGATCGTCAAATATCACGTCCTCAAGTATCGTCTGCGAGCCAACTGCCTAACGACGAATTAAACGATTCTTCTATCGCACATTAAGTCGATAATTTGTAGACAATTGACGTGCCCCAAGGTTTTATTTTAGCCTAGTCTGTGCATAGGTACCTATGTTTATAATTCCCACAACTGTATCTATTTTAATATTTTTTTGATTTTTAGTACATTTATCTTAAACATTGCAATGTATGTTTCACGTAAAACCGTTTAACTTAAAAAGTTTTTTACCTTTTTTATTGTTAAAGAGAGAACGCCAGCATTGCCGATGTCAGTTATGTCGCTTATTTTATTACGTTTCATGATATTTTAAAATGAAACTTCAATTCTTCTAAATATTATCTTTTTATTTCTCGAAGGTTCTTAATATTCACATTCTTCAACAACCCGCACTCGATGAACTCCGCTGTCTTCCAAACGTCATATTTATATCAACATTCAAACATAGTTGTATTTTCCTTTTAAACAGTCTTTGATTTCATTTACTTTTTACAATGATAATTATGAATACCAAAATGTTTTATAATAATTGATGACAGTCTCAAGTACATATTTCTTTTTTAAGTTACAGTATTATGTATTTTAATTAGAAAAATAAAATAAAATAACTTCAAAAAAACTCTTCCTAACAAAGCCATTGTATTTGCAATATATGTCAAAGAGGCTATGTGAAACGACTTAACAAAAATATAAAGTTTTGTATTTTATAAAATATAATTATAAGCTTAATTAGTAACGATACAATTATAATAGTATTTACAGAGTTCATACATTGGTTGGATATTCTAAATCAGTTTTTTTAATATGTATGTATATACTTATCGTACATATATTATTGTAGATGTAAAGTTGTTAATTTACATAAGTAATCGTGACGTACAAAATCGTAGGGAATTCTATACTTTTGAAGTCCGTTCACCTTGACTGAATTCTTTTTTCAATGCTACCACATTTAGTTTCCACTCATAACGAATTGTTACAACTTCAATATCTTTATTTTCTTTATATAAATTATAATACAGCCACAAAATTTACAATTATTGTATTTTTGTTACGAGGTATGATTCAATTACTATTATAACTGCAAAGATTCACAATAAGCTTTGAAAAATGAATATTAAAATCTTTAAGGTTGCTACTGCACTCCTATTTTTGTCAAATTTATGTATAGATCTTATTCGTTTACCAGCTTTACGAGAGATTACAGAATGACTGGTGAAAGTTTTAAAAATTGTTACCGATATATTGATTACATCACATTAAAAACTTGATTATTAAGTACATACACGATTGTATATTCAATGTTACCTTATTTATTATGTCTTCTACCTTAGTATGTGTTTATGTCAGTCTTTTTGCATTTAAATTGTCATGAAATAAACGCCTCTTTCCAACAAATACGTAAAAACTTTACAAAGTAACTTCTATCTTTCTTTGAGTATTTTGATCGGTGGCGGCAGGAGTCACTTAATAATATTTCGGGTGAACATAATATTGGGCACTTCAAGGCGGAGGTGGTGGAGAGCTAAGAGTGGGTGGGGAGGCTGGCGCAGGTGAAGGATTTGGTGGGGGTGGCACAGCTAGGAGAAGTTTGTCCCAGAAATGTGGATCATCCCAGCGCAGGTACGTTACGGCAGCGAGGTAGGCTCGCAGTTCTGGTGCAGTCGCTGCACGAGGAGGTTCCATCCCTGGCAATAACACAGCCAGTAAACGGGCGCGACCCTCGCGTAATGCAGCGGTGTATGCCTCCCTTAGTTCTGCGCGGGCCCATTGGCTTGCGAGGAAGCTTTCTGATACCAACGCTACTGTGCGGCGACTGTTCCGCACAGATGTGGCTATTTGTTCTGGAATCCATTCTCCCGGGGTCCAGTCGCGTTCATGAAGGCATAAACGACGTGCGCGTGGTCCACGTTCCAGCCGCTCCGCTATTGCAGCTGCGAACTCACTATCGTGATGTGAAAAAGAAACAAAGGCATCGTATTCACGTGCAGCTTCAGCTACAGCATCCGGTGCTGCGCCAAGCGCCCACCGTACGCACATCCCACGCTCAAATAGGAATAGCTTCAGACGGCGACGTGCAGCTGGCCGCACAAGGCAAGCAGCAATCACTGCCGCTGAGAGCACTAGTATTGACGCCGGCAGGGCCCACAGTGCCATGGCACAAGCAGCTTCAGCAACGTCCCTGCAGTGTCGCCGAGAGTCACCAATTTCCCCAGCCTCCGCACGACTTGCAAGTTCACGTTGTAATGCCACATCGCGACATTCGCAGGACAGAGGATTACCGTCTAGTAATACCCTTCTGTTATCAGCAAATAGAGTGGCCACAGTCACAGCGTCGATGTGCTTAATCTGGTTATTAGTCAAGTTCAGTAATTTAACGCTGGTCGAAATGTTAGTGAAGTCTATTATCGTAATGTCATTTCCTGGTAATGACAGTGAGGAGAGAGGTGGTAGAAGAGGAATTGTTGGTAATGCTACCAATCCAGCATTCGGACACGATACATGCGATCGTTCACCGTCTACTTTACACTTACACCGATCTGGACATAGCTCCTGCAACAAAACAAGTACCTATTATTAAATAATTGTTCCATAATAGTTCACGTAATGTCCCGGTCTTTAGCAGTTGCTAAGTTCTTTTGGCCATTGGATATATGTATAGAAATAAAATAAAAAATAAAAATAGCACAAATTTGCTTTTCTATTGGTTAACTGGTTATAGTACTAGAAATAACTACTAAGAATAAATAGGAATTTATTACAATTTTAAATAGGAGTTTTAGAACCAGTCGCATAATGAAGATTTTACCTTGCCCATTCACATAATTTTGAATTATTAATAGTATAGTACGAGCTACGCTCGACATTATTACAAAATCAAGTAAATACACGCATCATTTTTTTGTTTAATTGCTAAATCATAATTGTTGTTCTATTATATAATACCAATAACTTACAATTTAATTTAGTTCGCATTCGGTCGCTAAGCATACCGGGCCTACTCATCAATCAATCTTATATCAAATTAATCAATCAATCTAACGGTTTAAAAAAAAATCTACAAAATATTATTAATTTATATAATTTTATTAAGTGTACGAGCAAGCAAGTTCCCGTGCAAGTATTAATATTATTTTTATCTTGGCTCGTAAATTAAGTTCCTGGTAGGATTACTTAAAAAAGAAACAGAGAGACATGAAATTTTAACAAGCTTCTCTGATTTAGACAGAAAAATTATAAATTTCAAACTGAATTTCCTCCTATTGAAATGTTTATTTTTAATAGATAAATCAGAACTACGTACTGGCACTTCGCATAGCAAATCCGTTGGTGGCACAGATATGAGTGTTTTCTCGTTCTCACAGATGGCGTGAACCGAGGCCTGTCCGTGCTGTGGTCGTGCGCGTAGTGCCAGGGAATACCAGTACTCATTACAGTCGCAACGTAGGTGACTATCCAGTCTTATCACAGCGGATGTACTGTCACGGGCAACAGGAGCAACCAGAACATTCTCATATTGTTCTTGCGAGTATGACACATCCTTCACTGGGTTGCCACGCAAATCCACAACCACGGCGCTTAACCATTGCAAATCCTCGAACTGCATAAAACAAAGTATTGTGTTTGAAAGCAATAATAATAATAATAATAATGATAATGATAATAATAGTGATGGTGATAGTGATAGTGATAATGATAATGATGATAATGATAATGATAATGATACTCAAACAGTTTACCTCCAGTTTTGATATGTTATTGTAGCGTAAATTAATTTGTTTGAGTTTCGGCAAACGGCACCAGTCGTGACATATATGAGTAACCCCTGTGCTTTGCAGAGATAAGTATATGAGCTCCCGTCTGTCCCATAAAGTCGACATAGCTATGGATATAAAATGACAAATTACATTTAATCGAAAGAGAATGTCATTAATACCAATATTCTTTACCGGCTGTCACGAGTCCTGCACCGGCACTACATAAATCACCAAGTGGATTGCCATCCAGTACTAATTTTGTTAGCCGTGCTGCTACCAGTGCTTTGACAACGCTTGCCTTGAGGAGATTATTGGAAAGTATCATCTCTGACAACCGCGGACATGTGGAGATAATTTCACTGAAATAAACGTAATATCTCAAATAAAATAAAAAATATAATATCCAAATGTATAAAATAAAACCGACCTTGGAATTGTTTCAAGCTCGTTTTCGGAGAGATCGAGTATTTTCAGGCGACTCGAGTCAGGAACCCAATCTGGTGGTAATATTCGTAGTCCACACCCTTGTATCTGTAGTCGCAGAAGGTCACGAGCCCCTCTCAGCTCACCGGCACCCAGTGCACCAGGAGATACAGTTCTTAGAAGTAGTTCACGTACGCCACATCCCGCTAGCCATGCAGTTGGCGGTGGGACGTTGAGTTCCTCAATACTTAAGCTACGAAGCCCCGAACAGTTACCACGTATTTCAGCACTACGTATCTTTTTTAGTGTGGCCGTATCTACGCGCGAGCCAAGAGTGATTCCATTAAGAGGTGCCACCACAGATACGCTTCGAAGCGCCGGAGCCATGCTAACGTCCAGCTTCTGAAGCATTTCGTCAACCACCAAAAAATCGACCAAGTCAGGAAGACGAGCGAACACCTCCGCCGGGAGAGTGGTTAGGTTTGCATGGTATAATATAAGTTTGCGAAGCCCGACAGGGAAACGTTGTGCGTTTCTCAATGTCAGAGTTACACGGACAAGCCTCAGATCTAAAAGACCTTCTAGCGGTTCAAGAAAATTGTCTTCGGGTTCAAGGAACGGGGCGGGTGCAGGTGGTGCGCTTAGTTCAAAGGCGCGCAGCTCGAGGCCATGTAGGTGGGCGGAGGTGAGGGTGGGTGTCGCCGGCATCGTATCCAGCACGAGTCCCCCGCGTACAGTCACATTGAGCGTCTTAAGCGCGGCTGCGAGTCCAATGGCCGGTGGTGCACAGGCCGTCAGAGAAACAACAGGGATCATCGTGAGGGTCGTGAACCGAGGCAGGCCTTCACTATCCAGCTGCAAGTCTTCTCGACAGGTGAAGCTGAGTTCCTTCAGGTCGTATTTAATAGTCCAGGTCTTTCCTGTTTAAGATGGTATAACATTAAATTCAAATATTTAAAAATATTATATGACATTTTACTATTTTTTATATTTTCAAATAACAATTATCTATAGTAAATTATAAACCTGAAGGTTTTGTTTGCTTGTTCATTTGTTTGAACACGCTAATATCAAGAACTGCTGGTTTGATTCGGAAATTTTTCAGTGTTGGAAACTAAATTTATCAATTAAGTTATATTTTCAAATACGTAAAGGACCCTTACTAAAAGTGTAATAGTGTAACCTAAGATGTTAACAAATTAGCGTACAAAATGCTAGAGTGGGCTACGAAAATTATTGAGTATAGAACAAATTAATGTACTATCACTTCTGCAGGACATGTAATTGTTAAACAAATAAAGCAGTCATATGTCTAACTAATAAATATATGTATGTATATGTAGTACTACTATGCATGTGTCAATGAACTCCTCCTTAATGGCTTCACCGATTTGAATAAAATTTTCGTATAGGTGGCGCACCAGATGGTATAGATTATCAAAACAGATCGGCAGATGGCGCCACAGTCGGTATCTAGGTCATTTAAAATGAAGTGACTGCAAAGCAGCTTTCTATGTTTTCTTTTCACACACTATACATTTCTCTCAGAAAACAATATTAATTATTAGAATTCCTAAAGTAGATGTCAAACATTATTAAAACCGTAGAAGCAAACTCATCAAATCACACTAAGAAATTTATTTATTAATTTACGTGCGCTATAAGCTTTGGTGTATACCTACATAGTTTAAAAACATACGAGTTAAGTCTTGAATCATGAAAGAATGTTTGATTATTGATAAAGAAGTTCATTAAAAACAATCCACGAGCGTCGTTTTTCGTTTAAATTTTAAAATAGTAAATGTATTTTTGAAAGAACAACTAAGAGTCGTCTTGCAGTAAGGTTATTTTATGAAGACCTTTCTATTTATTAAAAGACTACATTGAAAAGGTTCAGGCTTTCTAAGGAACATAAGACCTAGAACAGAAATTACCCTTTAAATTTTATATAAGTTATAGTGTTGACAGAGAATACCTTTAATGACGAAGAAGTATTCGTCAAGAGCTGATCCCTTGTCGACACACAGGTCAGGGTCCGCAGTCAGCGGACAACGAGGAGACTGTGCTGACACGAACACTAACACTGATACTGACAACAACAAACAACTCCTAAGAACTTCCATTATAACCTTCACATTCTGATTCACAGCGTTTCATTAATTATTGTAACACTGTAATTAATCCCCTCAATCGATGCACCAAACGATACCTTTTTATTATTTTAACCTAAAACATAATGCGAGCGAAACGATATATAAAATACAAATGAGTAATGAGGAAAACCATGTTCGTAACCAATTATTGTTTAGTTCACGTTCGTTAAGGAAAATATGTTTGAGATAAAACGAGACAGACGACAAACGTCAACTTCAAAACAAGAAGCCACGAGTTAGGGTCGGCGCGGCGGGTAAAGAACCGGTCGACGGTATCAATACTAACGTGTCAATAGTATCCTCGTTAGATGTTTAAAAAACACAATGCGTACTTATTTATAGCTCTTATCATTGTATTATTGGTAGACTGCTCTGAGACATAATCTTACTTTCTACTCCACTTCGAAGTGACACTTTAAATTGTGTGTTTTATTTTTATAGTACTCAAATGATAGTACCTAATAACATCCTTTTTTTTTATGTTGCGTGCTGATACTAATTTACTTCAGGCGGGTGGCGGGGGAGTTAATGAAACCGAAACATTTTTTTTTAATTTTTTATTCATTATATTTATTTCAGATATGACAAAATCTATTATTTACAAATATTTTAAAAATTTGTATATTGAGTTATTGTTAATAAAATCTGAAGATCTACAAAATAGATATCATAATTTATTTTCATAGTGGTAGTAGGAAATCTAAAATAAATGACGCCATAAAGACATGCTCATTGTTCACGAAGGATTTAATAAGAAATGCTATGGACATGTTTCAGTGTACTAACAAGATACAATAAGACATACGATATGATATGAGCAGTTTAAAGTATAACGCCGGCCACACACTTTATGGAATACTTGAGCAAGTCCTGATTTGCTCAAATATACTTTATAGTTGAGCAAATCAGGACTTGCTCAAGTATACAATAACGTGTGTGACTGGCATAAGTTTATGTACAAATCATTATTCTAAACTTACACCTTTAAACTTGAGTACGTATCTACCGATTATAATAATTATAAAAAGTAATTACAAAACATGGACTCTTTATATATATTTACAATTTGACTACTTAATAGATAAGTTGTGTAATATTGTGCGCCGTCCTACTGACTGTTGGGGATGGCTGTACAATGATTATGATGTATTTTATGACATATGATAAGTTGGACTCGCAGCTCTCTTCTTGAGGGGATAGTACTAGATCTTTTTGTAACGATGTAATGGTTCGTCTTTCAAACTCACCTCAATATCTACATCTCATAGGGTCAACAGACACCGAGATGTGTAGAGTTAGGTAACTACAGAGAACTTAACATTAGTAATCAAATTTAAGAATAATTATGAATAATATATTTAATACTTGCAGAGTAATTTCATTTTCATAAATTCACTAATACAGTATAGTAATAGAGGAAAAAAACTCTTCTTAGTCATGGAATGAAGTCGTGAGACCGGCTGTGGGACCTTAAACTAATGAAGTTATTGTTACTCTATTTTACTTTTCGACTTGCAGAATTTTATTCAAATGAAATAAAGATATAACAAAATAATATTAAAAACCTAATGACTGAACAGATAGTATTGTTTCTTAAGAGTTGTAACAATTAAAAAAATTAAATTTTAAGCAGATGCGGTGAGACACATCGAACAAGGCCAGGAGAGGGGGGGCGTGCAGCCGTCACTTGATGTGAGTTTTCCTGTTACATTTCCAGTAATAAATATCATATTATAACTTATTAAATAATTCAGTTGCAAACTATTTTTATTATAAGTTTATTTTGATAAATTGTCCCGTGTCCAGTGTAAACTTTCTTTTTCTTCACGTACATATTCATGTACATAGGGTTCATGTTGTTGGTACATTGAGATATGTTTAATAAGTTTTAAGATCGGTCGTGGTCAGGGAGTCAGGTCGTTGTCCGCCGCGTCCAGCTCCAGCCGTCGTCTCAGCCAAGCCAACATGGCTTCCTGGCGCAGAAACATATACAATGTTGGAGATACCTTCCTTATATTATTTTATTTTAATAACTCGTATACAAATTCTAGTCTTAATAATGTTAGGTGTATATTAATACTACTGAAAACAAATTGGTGATGAAGTAACTAAAGATTTCTAAGCCAGGTGGAGTACCGGGCCGCGTTAGTAGAAGCAAGCGTTATAATGTTAAAGGTGAGTTATTACACGCTCAGTCCCTGTGTGAGTCGTGGTGCGCGTTGTCCGTGTACTCGTCGTAGTCTCTCTGCGGGTCGAGGTCGTCCCTCGTGTCGTACTCCCCCCCCTCCTCGTCCCCGTCCCCCTCCTCCTCCTCCCCCTCATCGTCGGAGCGCGTGCCGTCTCCTCCTCCTCCTCCCAGCCGCTCCTCCCGCGCCACTTCCTGCCACACCGACAACTACTACCGCTACCTTCCCCCCATACGACACTACCACTACCAGTGCGGACCTCATGTAGCCTTCACAGCTCAATATCCATGAAAGTCCACATTAGAAGTGTGGGATTGTTATTTTGTTATTGCGCAATTAAGTATGTGCATGCTCTAAACGTTTACCGCCTCGTCATGTCGTGATACCTTCGAGGGTCTCCAGCCACACCCCGGCAGCGGTAGTCCGTCCGGTCCTAGCGGGCAGGGAGCGTCGAGCCCCGGGACTCCTTGCTCCCCGCGGTCACCTTTGTCACCCTTGCGGCCGCGTTTCCCGCCTGGTCCCTAAACAACATTGCAAATATTACATTTGTTTCTGTTTCTTATAACAACAGTTTATTAACGGATATGTAATTCAAATACAGTCTTATCCACATTCATCATTATTGAAGCTGAGGCAGGAGGGTCGTGTTGGCGTAGTTATTAAGGTGTTAGTTATCGCATGCTGGATGTATAAATGCTCAGAAAATTAGTTCATGTACATGAATTACGGGAAACAAGTATCGGCTCTTATCAATTAAACTTACGGGTTCTCCTTTATAGCCTTTGTCACCCTTCGGACCCTATCGAGCGAAATCATACATTAATATGAAACAATTCCCAGAAACAGTTTTTCAGAGCTGTTACAACTTACCTCTTGTCCTGGGATTCCGTCTGTTCCCTGCAATGTATCGATATTTTTAATATTACCTACGTTAATGACCTTCTTATGTCTTTAAATATTATTGCCAAAATCAACGGCTACATAACAAATTTTTAAATAAATATTATAAATGTTATCAGACGTACGGGTAGTCCGGGATCTCCTCGCTCGCCCTTGCTGCCCGGCTCGCCCTGCGCTCCCTACATAATACACATTTTCTACAATAAATGATTACAAAAAACCTTCTCTGACTACATTTTCTTATAAATTTTACTTATAAATTTTACTTAATATAAAAGGACTTAATCGCTTTTGTTTGACTTCTGAGAAAGAATCTTAATAATAAATTTAGAAGAATAGATAATTTCTACAACGTCTATTGCAGATTTCATTTAATAAAATACTAACTAATGTATGTTGCACGAAGTACCCAAAATATTGTTTTTTGATAGATTAATTTGTACTCGTCGTAACAACAAAATATTTGTTTAAGACTTATCCAACATTCAAACAGAGCCCAAGTACCGATCTGATATTTAATATATTACAATAGGAGGTAATGATCAACTGTGTGTGTGTCTCACCTTCATCCCGTCGAGGCCGGGCGGTCCCTGTGGAACAACGAACAGGTCAGCTGCGTCACACTACTACCATCAACTGTAAACACATGCTACAGTCGTTCTCTTGCATTCAATATTCATGAAATGCATCTCAAATTCCATTTAACATACTTGCCTTAATTCAATCGAAGTCTTCCATGCGATAGAGTCATACATACGGAGACCGACACAGAATGAGTCGAATAAAGTCACGAGCACTGATCTCGTGATCCAAGAAACGATAGTCATGCTATATAATATATGTCTCTAGCGAGAGCACAGCAGGCACTGAGACGCCTTGGAAGATAAAGAAAACAAGAATATGCAGGGCATGCAAAAATTTATTTTCCTTGAAAATAATCTGTGAACAACAATACTTTAATGCTCTTGTGAATATGGTACAAATGACAACGTTTGACTTTATATAAAAAACTAAATCCTTAATAATTAGCAATACAATACGTACACTTAGTTTAAGATACAAAGATACAATGGGAAGAAATATGAGAGAGGGTAAGACATGCGTCGTGGACAACTCGATCGAGTGAGATCGGGTCATATGTCGATACACTTAACCTATACGATACAACTTTGTACATCAGAACAATATCTAAAGACGACACATAGTGATGAAAAATTAGCGAAAGTACGATAAGAGATGAAACACGTAAAGATAGGGTTAAAAGCTAAGCTAATAATATACAAGAGTCAACATTAGAATATGTAGTAGAACAGTGCGGACGGAGCACTCGGGACAGCTGGGTCGGTCGCGGCGAGTGACCGCCTTGGTACCACCTCCTACCACCGAGCTCGGCCGTAACGAGCATGTGTCTTCAACAGTCGTCATATCAATATGTACATACAGAGCCGCTCCTCTCACTCGTCTTTCAAAGCGGTCACCCGACGTGTCGCGCCGGCGCACACTTGGAACGCATTCATTATTACAATATTTAAATAAATTTAATTTTTTGAATAAGAAATGCGACAGTGAGGCCGGTTTCAAATTTTCTTATACATAGGTTTAATACGCGCGAATTACAATTAACGATAGTATTCATACGACAATATTTAAAGACTTATCATAAAACATTTGTTTACACCGAAGAAAACGAGACCCTTAGAGAAAATAGCAAGAGATATGACACGTAGAGATACGATTATATTAATATGAATCACAATCGAACCTGGCGAGAGAGCCTTCTGAACATTAACACGGATATGACGAGCGACGCCGGGGCACGCGGCCAGTGTAACTATGTGATACTATCTCTCGACAGTCTCTTCGCGAGAGGTCTTTCCAAATATACAAATATATCATTTGAAAATAGTCACTCTGAGCATTCAATATATTTACAACTTATTACAATATGATTATTAAAATATAATTATTAAATAGATAATATTAAAAAATATATCCAACTTGAGCATCTTTTAAATACTGATGATAAGGTTTGCGCAGATTGTCGATAACCGGAACAGAAGCAAATGGAATATTAAGTTACAGATTTTCCGTGAACCGCTTCACCAGTCGCGGATACAAGATGCACATCAGTACAGAGTTACTTGTACTCGTTATATATCAGAAGATGCTCGTCCACACACACTCACACCAACACACAGCGAAACTTCTTAAGCGATCACTTAATTATACTTGGATAAATGTTAGGACGAATAGACATGACTCTTTAAGTTAACAATATTAAGATACATTTTCCAGTAACAGTAATTAGAACCAGACGTCGTTGATAACGGTCGACACTTAAAGGCCTTAGGACTCAACATTTACAAAGTTAAAAGAGACCAACGCGAAGAATTTAAATTACAAAAGTCGCTAGCTACGTACAATGTTTATCCTAGTAATAGTAACGAAAATATTTTATACAGGTTTCAACACTTACAACTATTTGGTAACGCCTTACTTTAGGTGTTTGTCTTATTAGGTACAAATATTACAATTTACAGTTATTTTTGTTCCGAAGAGATGTATCCGATGGCGCGTGTCTCTCCTCGTGTGTGTGTGTATGTTTGTGTGCGTCGCTCGTACTACGTGAAGGCGAAGTCCGGCGGCCAGCGGTTCTCCTGCGCCCACACCAGCCCGGGTTAGTATCACACACACCCACAACTTTACGTTATTGTTATTGTTTGCATACTAGTATCTTCTGCGACTACTGTTTGTTATATTGTTAAGAGTCTAATCTGTTACGGGACGGATGGGGTTCTGGACACCCATAGATCTGTCGCGGGTCGTTTATAATGCGAGTTGTTTGAATCTTATTGAGAGTGTATTTCCCGCACGTATCAGATGTAAGAGTCTCCAGATGTATATTTATTCTGTGTATGTCTTACCCTCGGCCCCGTATCGCCCGGCCGGCCCGGCTCGCCAGCCTCCCCCGGGAGACCTACTGGGCCCTGGAACGTGAAGTATGCCATGTTATATAGATCAGCTCATTGTGTGTTTGTATGTCCGGTTATATCAACATCAGTAACACGTACCGGGAGTCCCATGGGCCCGGGGTCACCTTTCTCTCCGCGCTCACCCTACAATATGAAAGGTGCTGTTTCATTTTGTAAACTTTAGGCATGCATACTAATTTTAAAAAATCTGCAAATTAAATGTCTTGTGCGTAAACATTAAAATAGTGTATGTGTACGAACAATTGTTTGCAAAATAGAAAGAGTAATATTGAAAAAGATTAGGTTCATAATAATACAGTACTAGAGCTAATACTAGACACCTCCTGCGGCGTGTGACTACTGTGATGGAGAGGGACGCGACTGAGGTTAGAATGACGCGACGCTAACAGGATTTGATATTTGAGAACAAATAAATCATACCGTACCAGGCTATCTATATCTTAATCAGAGGAAGAGGTACACTATTGTATAATAATATTATACTACAATAAAATAAGTACTCAATTGAAAGTAAAACAAAAACATTATATCTCAACAAGTAAAACAATGTTTTTTTGTATATCATTAAACTAAAATGAATGAAGATAGATGATATAGAGGAAGACCGAGGATAGTGGGGGAAAGGATCTGTATGAGGAGATCGATAGATACAATCTGACCGCTGATGAAGCGTTTTGGAACGAAAGGACTTGCTGCCGCGAACAGTCGATGGAAAAAAAGGCAAGGAGACGAGGTGATCGGTGGAGGAATCAGTTATATTGTAATGTACCTGTCTCGCCGGTCCCGCTACTCAAATTCCTCAGAAGGTGAATAGCAATAGCTCGAGAATTATAACAAATAGCACAGTAAAGAGTGAATATATATATATATGTCTTTTGTTAAAGAAACGTACAGTCTTTCCGCGTGTGCCGGGCTCGCCTTTGTCGCCCTTGATACCGGGCGGGCCCGCCACGCCCGGGGGACCCGCGGGGCCCGGCGAGCCCGGGGGGCCCATCATCTGAAACAGTTTAATATTTCCATTGATTATTTAATATTAACAAGGACGGAAAATACTGCAAGAATAACTATTAACAGACTTTCAATCACTACTTACAGTTCATGAGAACCAAAAACCTCGATCAATCAGATATTAATCTGACTGACCGAAGAAGACTTAATGGAAAATAATTGGTTGCTATATAATTTTGTGATATAGTTTTGTAAATATAAATTTTCATAACCAGGATGTTATTCTAGATTCAAAATGACAAACTGGCCGATACGGCGCTCTGATAATCCATTGTGAACTCTATAGATATTAGTACTAATAATAAACAAAGAATTTCTGTAAAGAAAAAGCATTAAATACTAATATTAAATTAAATATTAATAAAATAAAGTTCGCGACTGAACCTAACTAAATAAAAAAAACAGTATTTAAAACATACTTGTATTTAAACATTTTAAAAGAAATTATATTATGAAAATCATAAATTTAAAGTTTATTTTTTATAATTATAATTTCCTTCTGAAGATAACCACTTAAATATAAAAGTTAAATTAGGAAAATAGAGCTTTTGCAAATTGTTCTTATAATCGAATAAAATATCTCAATATAATATTTTCATTTTTAATTCCTCTAAAGATATATCGCGTCCATATTAGTGTTAATTCTATTTGTACATGTTTCGAGTATCATGAGATTACAACAGATACTAACCAGTTCGTGTCCATAAAGCTCGTAGCCTGTCCCGTCTCCCTGCAAGTTCAACAGTGGGCATAAAGATTAACAGTTCAAACAATATGATCGAGTATTTTAAAAACACCTACATAAATACACATTCTATGAAGCATTCATATTACATATAAGATTTAGGCGTTTGTCACAATTATCGCTTCTTTCACAGATGCAGTAGAAACTCGATTATCCGGCCCTCAGTTATACGGACTCGCGATTATCCGGACTACGGACAAGTCCGGACAAGAAAATATGTCAAAGCGTCAGAGAGTTGTGATGTTGAGAGTGGCGTACGTCAAATGACTATTACCAAATATTCTAAACCAAAAAAAACTTATTATTTTAATTCATGATCACCAATTGCAAATTACCAAATACATATTATAATTTATTTTATGATTAAATCTGCAATTTTTAATACATAAATGTATATGTAATCTAAGAAAATGTATCCTTTACTTATTTATTAAGATTTGATTTGAAATTGATTTTCGTTGATATGTATTTGTTATTTTTTTTAATAAACGTCATATTCATATTATGTAGTCCATAAGCACAGAAGCGTCATTTCTTCATTCGATTATCCGAATCCCTATCGACAACAATTAGTCCTGTTAATCGAGTTTCTACTGTAATGATATTAAAGCGTTAGCGGATAGAAAGCTGTAAGTATATGTGTGTGTGTGTGTCTGTGCGTGTCCGTGTGTCGTGTCGGAATGGATAGTTACCTGCCTGCGTCTCAGCTTCCGGTACTTCTGCTGAGAGGCGCCGCCGAACACGCGCCGCGACCGAAACACACAAGCGACATGTTAATACAGACATACTACACGTTCACTATGGTGACCACACATACATGTATAGTATATACCAAGGATAACCGACATTAAGACTACAGGAGACGAAACTGTGGTGTAAAGTACAAAGATTTATACACTAATAACGACAAAATAAAAGTTTTGACAACAAAAATAAACTGAAAACTTAAATGAGAGTGATCACTACATATTGTTTGCGGCAATAAATTAAAAAAAATATTATTATAAATATTGGGGCGAAAACTGACAGTGTTGAAATAAAAATTATTAAAACTTACCGAGTCCCCCTTGTCTCCCTTCTCCCCCTTCAGTCCGGGGTACCCCGGGGGTCCCGGCAGCCCCGGAGCTCCGAGCATGCCTGGCGACCCCATGTCACCGTAGTCGCCTTTTTCACCCTTTGGTCCAATTTCACCCTGGAATATAATAATCAAGCCGTTTCGGTAAAAGAGACGTAATATTTGTCTGAAGGTTTGATCTAAAAGTTTTTATATCGGATCATATCTTTATATGTATATATAATTCTTCTGTGAGTATGTATGTCACTCAACTTCTCTCAAACGACTGGATCGATTTTGATGAAATTTTTTGTGTGTGTTCAAGGGGATCTGGGAATGGTTTAGATTCATAATTTTGTACGCTGGACAATGTTTTTTTAATTAATTTCTAATTCTTTTTGTAATTGTTGATACAAACGTTTTTTTTGTCATTATATTTGACAACTAACTAATATGTCAATCATTCTGTCGCACTTCAAAACACGGAGATTTATGACTTTAATAGGTAAACTCCAAAAATATAAATAAAGAAACGTAACAGATATTTCTTTATTATAGGGCGATACGAAGTTCGCCGGGTTTTCTAGTATTTCTATATAAACGATGAGCATATTGCAACTCATTTTATTATGCACATGAGTTTAGGATGGATATCCATCAAAAGCTTGTTAATCGTACCGGTTTCCCCGGCGGGCCCGGCACCCCGGCGGCCCCGGGCCGGCCGTCCGAGCCAGGAGGTCCGCGGGGTCCGGACGCACCATCCTTGCCAACCGCACCTGAATATTATATCGTTTATATATATAAGTGTGTTGACCTGACTTAAGAAACATAAACAGTTGGATCATGGATAGCAATCTGTGAAATAAATGATTTAACAAAGCCATAAAAATAAATCATTTCTGCCAGTTATTACAATTTTGTGAAAATATTCAGTTTTCTTATGATAGTTTTTATTTTATTTATTATATATTTCAACATGTTCATATCATAATTTTATATACATAGCACTTAGTATACAGGATGACTGGTGAATTACTATCAATATTTAAGGAGAATACTCGGTACATGATTCTCATTCGAATTATGTAAAAAAATAGGCACTTAATTTTTGACAAAATCTCCGTATAAATAAATAAAGTGTGGACAAGTTCCAAGTGTTCCAAGTGTGGACGCGTGCGGCGGCGTGCTGATACAACACCACGCCGCCGCACGCGTATGTGTGTGTATACCTAATCTGTAGGGTGTTCACACGATGCGTAATTAATTACATAACTTTTGGGTAACTTTACTTAGAAGTTTAATAATATTTATGTTATATTAATTTTTATTTTGTCATATATGATCGTCAAATATCACGTCCTCAAGTATCGATAGTAATTCACCAGTCACCCTGTATATTTTAATAGTTCCAGTATCTTTTTTGTCTAGTTACCTTATCAACAAATGGAGGCGCATGTGTATAGCCAGCAGCGCTGTAGTATTTGCTGAGCCTCTCGTCCAGTTAAAAGCCACTCGGTGAAGCTATCGTTAGTCGTCACTTGTACCACAACAATCTACCCGTCAACATAACGTTAGTGTAGAAGCCCCGTGCAGCGTTATGCTTCATGCAGCCATGCAAGCGTGCGACATGCTAATGTACTAAAACGTTGGAAAGAAAGAGAACCTGCATGTACGGCAATGTATATAGTCACAACCATGTAATGATAAAAGGCTAAATCTATCAAAAGGACTTTGAGAATAAAGTAGAACGTGCACGTTTTGAAGTTCGAAGAGTACCTAGTGTCATAATACAGAATAGCTTAGCTCGGGATTTGAGGAATAACGCAGCGCTCACAATAGAGAGAAAATTGTAGACAAACAGGTTTTTTTTATAATATAAACGACTTTCAGGCCATCGTCGTGTAATAATTAACAAATAATGAGGCACGGCGCGATCCCACCGAGGAAAAGAGAAAGAAGGGAGCAGACAGTGTCGGTGAGTACAGAGAGTACAGTAGTTGTCGTGTTCAGTAGTGGGTGGTGTTACCCGCTTGCCCCGCTTGCCTCTCGCGCCGCGCTCCCCGGGGGGCCCGGGAGCACCCCCCGCCCCCCGCTCGCCGCGCGCACCCTCCGCCCCTTCAACACAGCCGTATCACACACTCCTCTTTTTACAATACTTATTGTTTACTACGGTCTTCAGTTGGCGGCTTCAGGCTTGGATATTTTTTGTAATAAATCCATTTCGTAGTAATACCAGTAAAGACTGATTTAAAATCAAAAATCTTTGCCTAATCTATGCTTTATTTGTATGCTGAATTTGTTGTATAATATTGCTGTAAAGCTTCTAAGTTAAATCTACTCAACAATGAAAAAATTTCGAAAGCTACATCAAACTTTAAACACCGTTCAACATTCCCCAATTAATGTGTCGGTAAGCAGCGTGTTGGTTAAGGTTGCCTTCTACGGCTATCAGTGAGGCTCACACTATATCAAGGAGAGAGTTACTCACCGGGAGGTCCGGGCGGGCCCGGTGGACCCTCGATGATGCCAGTCGGGAACGCATCGCCTTTCAGTGTCGTCGTGAAACCACGTTCACCCTTGTCTCCCTTGTCTCCCTGTAATTATTTTATTTTATTTGATCAAGTACCGCAGTAAACATTATTACATTAGTTAGCACAAGCTATACATAATTAAGTGTTATAAGTGTTCTGCACAATGTTTGCTCTTGCCTATTTTCGTAAAATGCAAAATATTTAAACGAATCTTTGGGCTAAACTTAAGTATAAATAACGAGCCTCATTACGTAATACATTTCAGTTTCCATATTAATTAAATTCAACTTTGTTTTATGGAATGTGTTTTCTTATATTATGAAAAGATTTTTCCGATATGCTATAATTTTGGCTATTTTTTATTTATATACCTATTATTTAAATCGGACAACTCAAGTCTGCTTTTACATGGTATTTTTGGTTAAACAAACGATAGCATAATTATTGGAGTGGTATAAAACTAGTTCTGGAGCCAGTCGAGGTCAGTTAGAATAAGAAAGACAGGCCATGGAAGAGCAGGACTGTCTTCAAATGAGGCAAGGTTTATCTCGTGGAAAGACCGCGACTTGCTTTTTATCTAGTTCAGTCAGTCATTTCTTAAAGAATTATCTTAAAGAATCTTAATATTTGTTACCGTTTCTCTTTTTTTAAAATGTTATATATATGTAATAATTTGTGGCAAACAATAATAATTTGTGGCTGTCACCAATAATTATAAAAACTTATTGGTATTCATAATTATTGTTATAAGTAAAACGAAATCAAAGACTCCTAGAAGGAGGACAGAATTCAGTTTAATGTTTGGTATAAAAGCGACGTTTGAATGCATGACGTGCGGAGTTCATTGAGTGCCGACTATTGAAGAACATGAATATGAAGAACGTTCGTGAAATACAAGGATATTTAGAAGAATCGAAATTTCATTAAAAAAAATGGATTGTGATGAAAGAAGAACCATCGTAACGTCAGCAATGAAGACGTCTCTCTTTTTAACAGCGAATTTGTATTAACTCCGATGTATAGTTTAAGTCGTTGTTTAGTAATTTAATTTAGTATTGTATATATTTTACTTTTATTTACGTTATCATACAAATAATAATTTTTGTTTTTGACGTGATAACGTCTTTAAAATCGTTTTAGTAGGGTGACATGTTCAGAAACTTGTGTCACACCAAAACCTCACGAGCGCGAACGCAGGTATAACGAGAGAGAGACGGACCGATCTCCCGTCTCATCTCGAGCGCTGCCAGTCATTCCCTGAAACTTATCACGCGGAATCCTCACGAGCGGAGGCAGGCATAGCGTTCGAGTGAGTGGACCGATCTTCCGTCTCTCTCACTCTAGCGGCATACAAACGAATGGAGTGAATTTTCTCGTGCGGTTAAGTTTTCTTTGAATGTTTAACAGTGAAATAAATGTATAAGAGTATGTTTGTATGAATGTATGTATGAAGAAAAATATATATATCATAGTCGAATAAGTAAACTTGTCATTTTACACCCGAAATTTATCATCAAAAGTGTGAATAAAACGATAGATGTAATTTAAAATTAGAAAAAAAATTGTTATCTTCATTAATTCCTTTCTTCCCAAAAACTTATATCACCAATAAGATGTTATCACGTAAACATCTCGATCGTAAACCTACTTTACAAACAACCAATATTTTTTTTCTTAATATATTTTTAAAGTTTTTGCACAGCCCCATTCCTTATTTTTTTCTTCATGATATATATCCCTCTTTTCTATCTTTTCTTCTATATCCTATCTAGCTGGGAGATACTTTTGAAATTTGGCCCCACTGGTGATTGAAGAAAAGTTGACTTTTAAAAAAAGTATTCATGAATACGTGACCTGAATTCATTTAATTACGAATCTTTATTTTTAACAACAGAGCAATGGGAAAAACAAACCGGTAGATACAGTTCTAAAAATATCTTTAAAATATTTCATTTGAAATCTGGATACCCACCAGATTTTTCCTGAATTTTAAGTTCGGAGTTAACATTGCAACTGTATTTTTTATAAACTCCCTTTCTTATTTCTGACTGTAGCTTTTTCTTAATCTTAAAGTACTTTCCATCCTTTAGTTATTTATCTTTTTGTAATTAAAGATAATATTAATATTTTTGTACATATTTAATTCGAATATTCGAAATCTCTGCATCATGGATCCCAGAATCAATACCGAAATTCTAAAAGCCAATTTTAAAATTTTAAATTCATCCATTTGCGATCAGGATCTATCATTTGATTTCAACTTCATTATTTTATTTTATCTTTAGCAGATTTTATAATTAAGTTTATATGTTCTACAATAAATGAATGTCATTATTGTATCACCTTATGTCCTGCTGGTCCTGGGGGGCCTATCGGTCCAGCAGACCCTGCAGGCCCCGCCGGCCCTATGGGTCCAGGGGGGCCGGGAGTCCCCGCAGGACCCACGCGTCCTTCTGCTCCAGCAACACCTTCTGCTCCTGTCGGTCCGGGAGGTCCCGGAGGTCCCGGCTCGCCAGGTTCCCCCTGAATTGTTACATTAATTTTATGTATTAGTTTTAGAGCTATGTTATTGTGTAGGTGTGGAAGTAGTTAGTATAAGTTTTAAAGTTTCAGTTAAAAACGAGAGGAGCTTATCGATTGATTCAATGAAAAATATTGCATTTGATACTGTTATTGGTTAATATAAGTTTGTTTATGAAAACTTGTGTATGACGTAAAACAACAATTAAAACTAATAAAAATCCAACTTCATGCTTATAAAACACAAACACTGAAAACAAGGCTAATGATACTGTAGACACTTAAAGAAAGTTTTATACTCGAGGAAGATATGCTTGTTTTGATAGACCTCAAGGTACATTTGTGAATGAAGCGTCTTGGACTTACCTTCAACTGTATGACGGACTGCGCCGAGATGTTGTGCCCCGTCGCCTGCAGGGCCTGCGCATACAGCGCGTCAAAAACAAGCGGTCACACCTCAACACACAACCCTTCCACATTAAACAAGACGAATGAAAGTCGCTAATGACCTCAGATACATTATGCCAGATAATGTAGAAGAGTTGTTTGGAAAACGATCTGTACGTTTAGATGATAACTAAGCTACGTCGATATGAACATCAAATTACAGCAGAAAAAATGTAAAACTTAAGCGCAAAACAACATTTTAAAAAGCCGAGAACTCTCGACCGCCCGACAAAAAAAAAATAGCGCAACAAAGCCCAAGGTCGCTATAGCATGCGACACGTGGTACCTTAACGGCTATGATCTCGGCGGTCGTGTAGGGGCTCATCTTATAGTTGTCCACTGATCTTTTGACTCCCTGTAATCGCCGCAATACGATATATGTATAATATCTCGAAATTTTTACTTCTCAATTATAATATATATGCTATAACTGATAATGATACTTTGTAACGAAAGCGGACATTACAATTTCATAGGTTTGTGAGTAAATAAAATTGTCTTTTTTTTCGCTATGGAACCTTTATAGATAGTGCCATAATGTTCATCTAAATACAACATACCTTTACTGCAGAGAAAACATCAAAGCCTGGACTGCCATGTTCTCCTTTTTGTCCCTTGTCCCCCGGCCGACCCTGAAATGAGAAAATAATAATAAATATCATATTTAAGGACATCGATGAAAAAAATTTTGGCCCACGAAGAATTGTTATACGGTGCAATATTTAATTATTCCACATTATATAGACGGCATTCACTCACCGGATCTCCTTTAGGGCCGTCCAGTCCTATCGGGCCCTGGAAACGAAATAAACTTTACTGTTAATTTATTCATCAATAATAATCTATCGAACCCCTTTTTAATATTTGCATGTTAAGTAAGAAAGAAAGATTAGGAAAGAAAGTATCATTTAAAATAATATTTAGTTGGAGTTAATGTCAAACGGAGTTAGTTTCTACTATATTTTTAAAATCGATGTAATTAGATAATGTAGTCCTAAACATTATTAGTCATGCACATACGCAACTGAGATTTTAGTAGTACCACAATGAAGTTTCTGAATGTATTTCACAGAGTCGGCAAAATATTATGCAGACCCTTCGTCAGGATAGTTCACTCAGTCTAAACAACCCTAACCATATGTTGGTTGTAAGTCAAACTACAGATACAACTAGAGTTAGGACGCGGGAGATGGTTAGGCAACTTGTAAATGGTTGATGTAATGGTTGTTAATGAGGCGCAAGGGGTCTAGCGACACTACGGGGCCCGCCAGCGAGGCGCTTACCATGAAGCCGCGCTCGCCTCTATCGCCCTTGCTACCCTGAAAATTCAAACCGTATCGTTAACACGCCCTACACTTTAAGTTATCTTAACCTCGGATGCAATAACTGCACTGTGGGTTTAACTTTATAACATATAGGTACGCGTGACTGGCTCGTGTTCGTTTAAGAAAAGAGTATATATAAAGTAACACAAAAATGTATCGGAACTGTAAATATTTGTTAGTAAAGAAGAAGCAGTGTGTAAAAAAGAATCGTTTGTAATTTAGAATATTAATCATAAGTGTTAAAGCTTAAGGTGAGCGCTATATACAGAAGATAAAATATATAAAAAGCAATATACCGGGAATCCATTTTTCCCCGGAGCTCCCATCAACCCCTGCAAAATAAGTAAAACAATAAAGAATGTTGAATTGTAGCAAAAAAAAAATTATAAAAAAAACAAAACAAAAATTAAACAGTGAGCTAAAACAGTTTCAAGAAAGTCTAAGTAGTGATACGTACCGGGGGTCCCGGGTCACCGGGGTCACCTTTCTTGCCCTTCTTGCCACGCTTGCCGGGGGGCCCGGGAGGACCTGCAACGTTAACAATACTATTAAATACTAAATATTTAAAAACCAACTAATACATATATTCCGTAACTCATTTCAAGACAATCTTTTAGAAACAAATGAAATAAAGTGCTTTGATTACAAAGGTTTTATACAATATTGAAGCTCGTTAAAATTTTGGAAGTAATTCAAGCGGAGCCAAGCTTCATCAGTAGTGTAGGACTGTTCCTACACAGGTATATGAAATGTAAAGGCAGGTCGTCGCGGAGGGCCCTCGATAGCGTGACGTCACTACAAGAGGCTTTAGACCCGAGCACTCTCCACGACGAACAAATAACAGAATTGTCACTTGTAGGTACCTCGCCCCTCTCCCTAACATCCGGGGAAATTCACTAGCTTTTTTGTTGTCCTTAATGTCCTGTCCAGTATGATAGTGAACTGTTGACAGTTAAATACAAATTATAAGTGTAAGCAGGCCATACTTTAAAACGATGTTTATAAATGATGATAGGGTCTACATTACACATTAAAGTTGAATGTTTTATACAAATTACGCTTACTTATAAAATATTACACAGATAAATATTATCAAGTATTAAGTGGATCTTTTAATATCGTTTGATATTTTGTCTTTCGTATTTTTATTTAGTGTTATTTTTAAATATTCATAGTGCAAAAAAATCAGACACTAAAACATTTCACAATTTTAAAATATCAGTAAAACGCACAGGTTTTAAATGCGAGCCAATGAAGAGACCGTCGTCGACTGAATAAGTCATATCTGTCAAAAGGATTTATTACAGGCCCTTAACATTCACCGATAGAACAGACTTAATACCGTGCTATGCAATTAACAGTTCCGCTGCGTCATGTTTTATGATGGCTACCGTTCACCGTACGTCCTACGACAAAAGCCGGCCGTAAACCGTCCGTCTAGACTGGAGGCACCACCGGCGGCCGACCGTCACTCAACTACATTGACCACTGCTCAAATAACTTATGTTGGGTACAGACGACATGCAGGGGAGGTCGCGCGGGGAACACGCGAACACAACTCACGATCACGACCACATTGAATCATCACTGAGAAAACTACTACATATCAAATTTTTTATTTTCAGCGCTGTAGAAAAAGAGGGTGCTTGAAGATATGAATCGATTATAGAAGCTTTATAGCATAAAAAATATTGATAAAAAAATAGTTTTAGAGAATAGAACTAAAATCCTATCTCATGGTTTAATTTGTTATGCAAACATTTCTATGTAAAGCCGCTCACTATCGACGATGAAAAAACGCAACGAATTCGAAACAAGATCATCCGGATAATCGGATAGTGTGTGAGTGAGTGTGTATGTGTGTGTGTGTGTGTGTGTGTGTAATGCATAAACAGCGTAATGTATTTTTAACAATTTAGACAATAAAATAATAATTATTTGTATGGGGTTCGGTTCGTTGCCTACACATCTTCGTAAGTATTATAAGCCGATACAAAGTGAAGCCTGCGGCGTCTCTTTTGATCTCCGCCCTCGATGAATTCATTTCACATTCAATTACGTTTTGCAAACAGTTTCTATCATCTTAAAACACGTCTCTCGCTGACACCCTCCTCTTATTACGCATAGAGGATACAACCTATACTATACAATAATATTATACAGGGTGACTGGTGAATTATGTACTATCGATACTTGAGGACGTGATATTTGACGATCATATATGACAAAATAAAAATTAATATAACATAAATATTAATAAACTTCTAAGTAAAGTTAACCAAAAGTTGTGTAATTAATTACGCATCGTGTGAACAACCTACAGATTAGGTATACACACACACTCACACATACGCGCGCGCGGCGTGGTGTTGTATCAGCACGCCGCCGCACGCGTTCACACTTGGAACACTTGGAACGTGTCAACACTTTATTTATTTATACGGAAATTTTGTCAAAAATTAAGTGCCTATTTTTTTTACATAATTCGAATGAGAATCATGTACCGAGTATTCTCCTTAAATATTGATAGTAATTCACCAGTCACCCTGTAAATAGAAACGTCAGTATTGGAAAGTATTACAATAATTTTCCTTTTTAAATATAATTTTTTAAGTTTTAAAAAAATTATCCATAAAATGAATCTGAACTGGTTGCCTGAGTTCTAAAGTAATATAGTGAAATTAAATTGTATCTTCACACTCGTATCAACAAGTTAATACAGTAACTATATAATGTGGAAGTAGAAATATTCATGAAAAGTTTAACAATATGATGGATGTCTACAAACACACACATACATATGTATATGTACATACATACATATGTACATATAAGTATAGAGTTATTTTTTTCATATAAATTTGTGATTTCACACGTATTTTCGAATGATATTTACTTAAATGTATGTCATGAATTATAGGAGGATTCAACAAAAACGTTTTGTCAAGTCTTTTAATAGGCTGATACTTATATAAGGACTTACTTATTTTACTATATTTTCTTAAACTCCTGTTAGTTTTTTTATTACTAATCATCAATGCGATAGTTCTGATTTTTTTTATAACAAATCAGAGAAGGTGATAATATTTAGTAATTTAAATTAAATAGTTAGTAATTTAATATAAATAGTTCCCAGTACAAAAACCACGGGCAGTGTGTGTAGATACAGTAACATATAAAATGAAAATAATTCTTCATTTGTTATCTAGATATTATATGAGTCGGAATTAAGTTCTAAGAATAATGAACCTCACATAAAATGGCCAAGTGACCTAAATGCATATTAAATTTAATAAAGTACACGGCGGCCAGGAGCCAGGCTCACCTCAGGAGAGAAACACAGAATTTGGTCCAAATCAAGATCGTTGTGGTAAAGTTTATGTTAGCTATTTTACATTTCAGATCACGTAAAGAATTGAGACAGAACAAACACAAAAGTTTGGAGTTTGGTCCAGAGATGAATTAGAGAAAGAGAGATGGAGAGATGGAGGGAGGGAGATGGAGAGTATTAGTTGGAGTATTTATTTGTCTCGGGGTCGCAATTGCCCCAATAACATTTAATTGCGTGGCCGCTGTCGATAGAGCTCCTTTAATTAAATATCCAACATTCCTACTGTGGCTCCGATGACTCTCAGTTGTTCACCTCCCACCACGCTACACTACACACGGCTATATAGAACATGATTTAAGACGTGTGAAATATGTACACAGGTTTTATACTGATGTGATATTTATTTTATTTGTCACATTAAATTTTCGTCGGCTTTTAGTGCTCCCTTAGTTGTAAAAAATAAATACAAAATAATTACTCACAAATATGTAGGTATACAAAATCAATTTAGTATAGATGTTAGAGATTATTTATGATGGAAAGCAATGCAGGTACTTAACATCTTTCACATCTAGTACTGAAATGAACTTGGACGGTTAAGATGACCTGTCCTCAATAAATGAAGTTCTACATCTTCCCCGAGACAGATCGCCGCTTATGAGGAATGCAACGAATGTCAACTTCAACATAAGTTAATATATTATACGAGTACCATCACTTTTGTTGAAAGAAATATCACAAGCGGCTAAACCAGCACTAAAGTGATACTTAGTTAATAGTTTTATATAATTTTTTATATAATAATCCTTAAAATCCTTATGTAATCAGTTGCAGTATGTTTATTATGTGCAGGCGGCAGGTAACGTCGCGTGCTAGTGTCTATATTGATCATCATATTATGAGTCTGTTCCTCCGCTCCCAGTTTGGATAATCCAGTTAGAGCTGCGAGGTGTCGGAGCATTCAGGCCGATATTAAATTATCCCCACTTAGGCGCCATACTTAAAAAAAAAGCTTATTTTTTATGAACGGTCCCTAAAATTTGTAATGAAAATATTGTGTTTACCGTAATCCAGAGATTACCAAGCCATGAAAATAAGCCTCTTTGTCGGCGTATCGGCATTAAAGGTTGTTGAGAGCCTGCAGATAACGACCAAGGACAGCTCTCCGGACCGGTGAAGGGTATTCTTGGTTAAATTAATAACTATTTAATAACGTTATAAATTAGAGGCTCGTTTAAAGATCTGAAAATTGTACACATATATATAAAATCAATTATAATATATAAGAGATAAGGTGTTGTTATTTTATTTTTAATCTTATTATTATTATAATTATTTGTAAACATAACTTTTTCGTTTATTACAAAAATGTGTAAGCACAAATTTAACTACATTAGCCAATTTTATATTTGATGGTTAGTTCATAAAAAAAGCTTCTCCACCAAAAGGTTCATATGTAAGTGACATGACATATTAGTGTTTTTGAAGAAGTTACAATTTCAAACACACGATAAACATTATAATTATAATATTTACGTTTTGTTACTAGCCTTTATGACGTCTTTTTTTTCTCAGATACGCTTAATGAGTTCACACTGATCAGGCAAAGATCTAGATGAAATAACTTTTTTTTAATTAATATGTATGAATGAATTAAATCATACAATAATATCCCTACTAATATTATAAATGCGAAAGTAACTCTGTCTGTCTGTCTGTCTGTCTGTCTGCTACGCTTTCACGCCTAAACCACTGAACTGATTTTAATGAAATTCGGTACAGAGATAGAGTTGACCTTGAGAAAGAACATAGGATAGTTTTTATCCCAGACTTTTGAAAGGTTCTCTTGGAAACGCGATATAACCGAACTCTACGCGGCGAAGCTGCGGGCGGAAAGCTAGTATTATTATATATAATTTAATTAGGGTTACTTACCTTTTTTTAAATGTTATATTTTTGTAAGATTTAGGAATTCTTTTTTTATAAATAATAATTAAAGTTAAAGAGCGTACCACCTCCCGCGACAAAACCACTCCAATCTTAAGCTTTTTCGACGCGGTTCTTCTTTTAATACACACATTTCACTTTAATATACTAGTTTATGTCAAGTATCAATGAAGATAAGCGATACTATGAATGTCAAGTTGTTAATTGCATTTATTTACTCCATGTATATTGTAACTATCCTCAATCGTCTTCATAAACCTGAATACCTTTTCCTCCGTTCAGCAACACTTCTTAACATTTAGACATAAAGAGTAAAGCATCATTGTGCATCAAGTAGTTATACTGTTGAGGCTGTGTAATTATTTTTACAACTATGCCTACGAATATTACTTTAGAGATCCCTCTTCCTCCCCTACCAGGATTAACGTAACGAAATCTGTTCTTTTTTTCTTTTTGTTTTTGTACAAATATTCAAAAGATGCGTTATAGGTATGAACCTACGGTAACAATATTAATTGTTTTTTTAATTTTTTTATTCAATACTAAGGCACATCAAAGTTGATTCAAAAAGATCCTAAAAGTTAATACCATTTATTTTTTTATCTTTAATTTTTGTGTGATCACTTATAGTAGTATTATTAGAGGTATGTAAAGTGTTATTTAATGAGTATAAATAACAACACATTTTGTTTTAATACAATGTTATGTTGTTATTATGATTCAAATAATGGGTTATTATCAGATGTTTAGGAACAGCTTTATGAAAGAAGGGCGGCAAAGTGCATATTACTTGAGGCAGTGAATAATTTGACGCAGCGATACCCTCCAACGGGTTACTAAATGGGCAAAAAGGTGGTTTTATATAATGATATCTAAGATTTTCGAGTGAGTGAGTAAGAGTTCATTTAAAAGTCATGAAATTTTCACATTTGCATCTCGTCTGTCCGTGATCACGGTTGCTGCAAAGGAACCCAGACGTCAGGAGTGTGTACGTTTTGAAAATAAAAACGTGTAGACAATTTGAAAATTTTAATTTTATGCAAAGGAGGTTTAATTTTAGGTATTCAGTAACGGAAAGTCGTTCGCTCCGTATCTTATTTATAATAAAACATCATCGTTGCATCACATCCGGACACTATCATCACCACCTTATATTAATTGCAAGATGAAACGACTTTTTTTATCATCAACCATCATGCGTATAGTATTTAAGTACTTAATGAGTTTTTTGTGTTCCATGAATTAAATCGAAGATGTGCGTAGCACGTAACGTTTGCACTAATAATGGTTATAGTATATAGTATTTC